TCCTTCCTTCCTTCCTTCCTTCCTTCCTTCCTTCCTTCCTTCCTTCCTTCCTTCCGGCCAGGCCAGTCAAGCTCGATTCTTGGCTATTCCATGGATACATCCATGAACTCCCTCCTGCTTTCATGACAATATAGGCATCGTTTGTCACTGACCTCATCCAGTCCAGCTTTCTGGATTTCTTAATCTAAAAGTTCCACCATTTCCTAGTGGCTACTCATCCAAGGACTAGCCAAGCCTTTTCCACTCTTTTTGAAGTCAGCCATATAACTAAATGTTATCCTCTTATGTAACATAGTAGGGTTGGAGTTTCAAATGCAGCCTTAAATCTACAAATACACATCCCAAATGTATTTTGGAGAAGACCTCCAGTGTGTATTTAAGCTCCGTTTCCATAACTCTACAAGTTGTGATTACATTAATATTATAAGGTCTCCTTCGTACAATTAATACTTTGGTGGATGGGGAAATCTTCATGGTAATATTTTCACGCAATGGGCCCCGTTCTGGGAAGACGGAAAGGGAATTTCTGAAAATTAAATTGCTCAGATTCTGGGATATCACTTTCCGTTCTTTGACAAATAATCTTTTATTGCATTTTTTCTATAAAAAAAGGGAGTGTTTGTTTAGTTTTGTTGACCTTTGAATCAGAATTGGCGCATAGTCAATACATGGACAAGTCCATGCAGATTTCTTAGGAATATTTTTCCATCCGCTTCTCTTCTTTCCTCTCCCCTTCTTTCCTCTCTTCCCTCTGTCTTCTCTGTTTTCTGTCTCTTCTCTTCCCCTCCTCTCCTCTTCCCATTCCTCTTCTGTTCTTTCCTCTCCTTTCCTTTCCTCTCTTTCCTTTGTCTTCTCTGCTTTCTGTCTCTTCTCTTCTCCTCCTCTCCTCTCCCCCTTCCCCTCCTCTTCTCTTCTTTTCCCATAGTATTTTATTTTTTACTCTAACATTTTTCTATCAATTCTGCCACGGTTTTCAGTAGAAAATAAATACGGCACCATTGGGTCCAACATGCAATCCTCAACAGATGCTTTCCAGCAGCATATAAGAATACTACAATGAAGACACAAGATACTTAAAGAAACTAAAAAAGGAAAAAGGAAGGAAACATCATGGAAACCATTGGACCTTGACTCTATAGTCCTTGACTTGCAACCATTCTTTTAGTAACCATGAGAAGTTACAACGGCACTGAAAAAGGTGACTTGGGACTGTTTTTCACACTGTTGTAACATTCCCCATGATCAAAATCTGGGTGCTTGGCAACTGGCATGTGCTTAAGGATGGCTGGCCAGAGGAGGAGTGAAGTAACCAAGCAGTCGGTCAGCAGCTGGGGTGGACAGAGTGACCAGTGACTTTGGGGAAAGGGGAAACTTTTACTTTTAAATGAGGTGAAAGCCGTGGGAACTTTCAGAGTTGGCTTTCAACCGTTGTGAGAATATGATCTATCCAATAAATTGTTCTTTGAGGAATCTATCTGCCATGGAGTTCTGTCTTCCACGGGTGCATTACTTGGAACGCTGACAGTGGGTGAGTGTCCATACCTACACAGAGAATCAATTTCATGCGCCTGAAATAGAGATAACTGTGTGTGGGTTAATGGAATGTACGAATGCAGTTGCAGCTTTCAGAAGCAATGGAGAAGACATAAAACTTACCGATCACATGTGGTCCTGTGGATTGGTCGTTCAGGAGGCCTGAACCTTGTAGCTATTCTGGTCATGTACACATAAGCAATATCCAGATACACATCTCAGCTGTTTTATGTGCTGGACAGACGAGGGATTTTTTTTCCCCCTTTTCACGTCTGTGGTAGGGCCCGTATATTACACAGACAGTGATTCGAGAGGCATTAAAGCAGTTGAACTACACAACCTGGGTTTTAAGTGATGTTGCTCCAGCTGGGGGCTGCCAGTTCAGAACCACAGAACAAATATATGGCTGGTAAAAATAATGACAGATGTGGCTGGAACAGGAAGTCTTTATAGCCCTTCCTGCTCATGAAACAAATGATGGCTAAGCCAGAACCTGGTCAGAATGTGATGTGCTTTGGAATGGACCAATGAGCTTTGCAGCTTCCTCCAAGTCAGATCGAAGTAAATCAGAGCATGCTGGTTTATAGTTGATGTGCCTGGTGGTTGTTGTGTGTGAGTTGCAAACTCCCTGTGGTTTGCTCCTGTGATGGATTGTGTGTACGAAAGGGGAGGAGGTTGTGAGAGAGTAGAGTGAAACTGTAGTTTTGCAGGAAGGAAGCAGCATCTTCCAAGAAAGGGGGGGTGGTGAGGCAAGAGACAACACAGCCCAGAATTGGATCAGAGAAAGAAATTTAGGATAGGCACTCCCTAGAATCTCCCAGGATAGGATTAGGATTAATGTAGCAAGGCTTCGAAGGGATACGGTGGCTCAGGGGCTAAGATGCTGAGTTTGTCAATCAGAAAGGTCAGCAGTTCGGCAGTTCAAATCCCTAGCGCCATGTCATGGAGTGAGCTCCCGTTACTTGTCCCAGCTTCTGCCAACATAGCAATTTGATAGCATGTAAAAAATGCAAGTAGAAAAATAGGGACCACTTTGGTGGGAAGGTAACAGCGTTCTGTGCGCCTTATCGGTGTTTAGTCCTGTTGGCCACATGACCATGGAAATGTCTTCGGACAGACCTGGGTTTTTGGCTTTGTAACAGCGATGAGCACCGCCCCTTAGAATTGGAAATGACTAGCACATGTGTGTGAGGCAAGATTCTGTCTATTGTGTGCAAGCAAATAAAGAACTGAACTGAAAGAGCTGGATTGCTCAGTCTATGTCATTCTTGGAACTGAGCCTGGCAGCTCCCCAGTTCAAAATTCCCCATTTATTCAGGTATCTTGCCTGATCATAATCTGTTCAGTTGGTTATATTGAGTCATCAAGTCTGACTCTGGACTCAGGAAGAAACAGAAGTATCTAAAAACTTTAAAGGTGGATATTTCATGGTCCTTCCAATACAGAGGGGGCGGAAATATAGTCATCTCTTTAATTTTGCATCCTTTGCATGGGTTGGTAAAGGTTCACCTAAGTCACCGGGACTCTATCTGAATGAATTCTCTAATAAATGAGTGCTAGAAGTTGGACTCACTCAGTTTTCAAGATTTTTGTATATTAACCTGTTACCTTTTTGAGAGGAAACCTAATCAACCAGATTCGTTGTGCATCCTTCCATCCACGCTATATTCTGCTCTTGGGGTTTAGTGTAACAGTTAAGATTGCAAAAGTGTACAACATTACTAAGGTCTTGGCTATGTAGCAATGCAGATTCAAAGGGAAAAATGTATTTGACATCCCAAGTCAGAGCATATGGAGCATCTGGGACAGCTGTGTCTTCTCTAAGAGGTGCGTGGCAGTTCCCTGGAGGTGATGTGCCAGGCTAGGAAAAGATATATTTGGTATAAGGTATACCTGACAAGTGTTATATTGGCTTAACAACTTTTTAATTGAAACATCAACTTGTTGTTGAATAAGAAGGGGAAAATGCGGCGGGGTTTGAGGACAGAAGGGTTAACATGCATGCTACACTGTATTTATATTACAGGAGGCTCTGCAATTATTTGGAAATAAAATATTTTTCTCAAGCTGCAACTCTCATTTGTTGTAAGGTGACATCGGCTTGCTTTGCAGGGTTGTGGTATGTAGGACTACAATAAGTATTGTAGTATCTATTATCTCTTGCTAGATCTTATACTTGAGGCTGATTTTTAATCATGTTATTGTAATGTAGGTACTGATGAGTCAATACGAAATGCTTGTATCTACCTTTGTTCATATTTTGGCTGTGTTGTTGAAATTAAGTATGTTTGCAACTCTGTTTTTTGACATTCCAGATTCTGTATTCCAAATCCCAACATAACTACATGGATTTTGGTCCAGTGGACAATCTTGAAGAATCTTCTGCAAGGATTTAAGACTGTTGCAAACTGTCATCCAGGATCTCTGCTCTGAAAGAAGACCAAGCCCACCCTTAACTCTGGCCCTGGGTTGGATGTTTCCCATCAAGTCAACTCAATTTGTCCTCTCTTTTGTTTGGAAGAGGAAGTGAACAACCAGTCAGGATTTCTATGGGAGTCAGACTTTCCAACACTTTGGAAGTACCCAAAGCCCGGTGGTGGAAGCTTTGGCTTTGATTTATTCAGAATAAAGTCCTCCCAATTAACATCCCCCCCCCCCGCCAAAGAAAATGCCATGCTTTCTGCCACACTGCCAGGGCTGACAATGCCCTGGAGTGCAAATCTGGAGCGGGGAGGAGAAGCTGCGAATTGTGCCTGCCTTTCAAACCCCATCCACGAAACGTGTGATTTCTTAAGCAGCGACTTTCTTCCGTCTCTCCCCCCTCCATGCATGGAGATTTTCTGAAAGAATTGCATTTGGCGAGGGGACCGTGCCCAAGCTGTGTGATGCAAAAAAAAGAAGAAGAAGAACATTGGTGAAGAAAGCATCCTTGTACAGCTATTGGTTCTGGTCATCAGCCTTTATCCAATGCTTTGGTGGTGATGTTGCTCTCTATTTGGGAAGTTGGCGAGCTCTCAAGACAGTCTCCCTCTCTCTTTCTCTCTCTCTCTCCCTCTCTCGCACTCTGCCTCTCCTCAAAGGCTGTTCCACAGCGGAAAATATGCTCAGTGCAGCTGAGTGCATGCAGGAAAATACCTCCGGTAGCTTCTAAGCTAACACAATGCAGCACAACGTTCAACTTACGGTTGCCTTCATCCTCTGCCAGGTAAGGTATCTGGTTCTGATGATTTGGTCCTTGAAACTATGTGGGATTTCTTTAACGTTTCTGGGGTTCCCCCCTTTTTTTCCTTTTGATTCTTCTCTCTCTCTCTCTCTCTCTCTTATTTGCATTTGGCTCTTTGGAAGTGTCTGATTTCTCAAGGGCTGCAGGTTGACTAAAAACCCTGTGCGGAGAATGTGGGAAAAGCTTCTACAAGACAGAAATGCCGGGTTAGTCTCCAATCACAGGAATAAAGACACACGCACAGACAGACAGACACACACACACGTACATGTGTAGGTATCGTAGCTGTGTGTGTAGACGGATGGGATTGAGCATGCAACCCCAAAGGTTATTTGATCCCCTCTATTTACAGAAGTGGAGCAATGGCTTGAACATGTAGCACCAGGAGATATTTTTTTCCCCATTTGTTTTAATACGCTTCAACTTTGATTTGCTCCCCCCACCCCATGTCTTTTTGTGTGTGCGTGTGGGGGGGTGGTGGTGGAAGAGATATCCATTACAAACAGTTCCTCATCAGGCTCAACCCTCCCTGGAAAGAAATTTAGAACCGGGAAGAATGTAATGGAAAAAGAAAACGAGACTGTAGGAGCCTTGTTCTCCAGAGTCCTCCTCCCAAATCCTCAGTGGATTTGCAAAATCGAGCATTAGTCACTATCTTTCCCACCCCCCTCTCCCTCCCTGGTTTCTTCTCAACTATCATAAATCCTCCCCCTTTCCAGAAAGGCAGCAAAAAGGGTGGATGGGAGAGAGGGAGGAAGACACCCAGGCGTTTTTAAAAATCAAGAGGCTGAGATATCCTGCTGTTGCTGTCTGTCAAAAGCCCAGGAACCAGCCAGGCTGCAACTTCTGAACTCCTGTGGGCTGCAGAGGGGAGTCTTCCTTCTGAGAAAATACCCACAGATTTGTGGGGTGTGTGTGTGTGTGTGTTTGAAGGTCTGGTGTTGTACCGAAGGGTGATTTGTTGCGGCGTGACATGATGTTGCGAGTTTCCCCTCTGGTGTGAGTTGCTTTGCTTTGCCTCGCCTGCTTCTCTTAAGAGGTTAAAGTGCTTCGGTTACTGTCTTTTTCCATTTGAGGGGAGGATATTTGGGCATAGGGAAAAAAAAAAAAAGCTAATTCCTTTTTTGGTCTGGGGATCGGACTTGCTTTGAATTTAACCCTTGAGGTTGAAAGCACCAGAAAACAACTGCTTTCTATCAACTGGACTGGGTGTCCAACTAATCCAGCATTTATGTTGCATGATTCTCCAATGTCCAAAACAAAGAGAAGGGTTTTTTTTTTCCTTCTATCCCATCACTGCATACCTGACCGTTTTTGCTACATGAGTGAAAGTCTGTGAATTTGGAACTTAGGTATGCAAAGCACATGTTCTCCTTCTAAGAGAAGGTGCCTTCTTCTAACTTCTTTCCGTCCTCTCGTTTAAGGCAGATTGAAGCCATCACAAAACCTTGTGTGCTCCACGGCTTTTATTGTACTTATGCTACATTCACACTTCTAAGGGATTCTGACACACAATCTCCAAACACAACAGTATGGGCTCAACACAAAGTAGGATCTTGGTTTGTCCAGGAGGAAATTTCCAGAGATCAGTCCTCTGGACTTTTATTGAGGAGAGATTGGGGAGCGTTTGAACTCTGAAGGTTGACTTTTTCCCAGTTTTCCCCAGTAAAATGAAGATTGTTTTTAAAACAATGGGAAACTGGGATTTTGGCTGGTAGCTTAGCAGACAGAGGTTTCAGCAACCAATGTTCAGAGAGGTGGTGTGGTGTCTTCATGTTCAAATTATGGAATTGTGTAAATTAGACACCTACAGGGATGTTTAAGGCTAGAGATCCAATGTTTATTCATTCCTTATGCAACCTGATCAGGAATCTTAACCAAAGTGATTGAAGCTCTGGTTAGCCATTCAGACTGAAGGTTAAAATCTAACGTCAAGCTAACAATAATCTAATTTGCTGTGTTTTGGTTTAATGCATTTACTCCATACACTGATTGTGATTTGTAAACCATAGCTGACAGTTCAGCATGCCAACTGTGCTTGATGGAAGAAACTGTGATTAAACAAACCATGACTTAGTGGAAAGGGGGGGGGGAAATGACTAAACAGATTTGCTCTACCAAGGGTGCATGCTTGAAGTCATTCTTAAAGCAAGGAAAACATTGTTTTGATCTGAAGAATTGTCTTTTTTAGGATGTTGAGAGTTTGACATCGAGACATTTGGATGAAAGGAAAGGGAAAAGGTGTTGATTATCAAATTCAGTGGCTTTAGGCAAGTCACTAGATCTCAGTTTCACCCATCGAGTAGGATGACTGTAAATGCTAGCTTGTTCTTTTGAGGAAGGGTAGGCAGAATCCACAGCTAGCATGAAAGAGAAAATTCCTACTTTAAATCACGTTGGCTGATTAAGTTTCTGTTCTTGACTCCACAATTGCTATGGATAAGGACAATGGAGGAAAGCAAATTCACTTTCCCCTTGCCTGTGTTTCATGGCTTTTGTGAAAAAAATCCATACCATCCTCTTTTAAATGTTGCTTATTAGAAAATCGAACCATAGGGCTTTATGATTTCCAACTTTATTTGGGATCTTACCCCCAAGAGCTATTTTTGTGGTGGGAAGTTAACACAAAACAGCTGAATGAGCTAACTCTGACAATGTGCCAATATGTCTGGGCAGGGAGGAACACGGCTTGCACTCCACTCCAGTAGAAAGTTACTCCCTTCGGTTAGGAAATCATGACAGTCTGCTTGCAATGTTGCACTTCAACAAGTCTTGGTATGTGGTAGAAATATTGGGAGAAAGAGGCCTGGAGAAGAATCTGCAACAGCTGGTGAGCTAGAAGGAGAAGGAAAGTTGTTACAGGAGCTACTTTGATAAAACTGTTTTCCTCAACTTTCAACAACTTTAATGCTGCAGAAGGGGTGTAAGGAAGGGGTGAAGTTACTTGCACCAAGCAGTCTAGAAAGGTTCCTGAGTGGCAGTAATATATTATTTTCCAGTGGCATTCATGTTTCCTTCCTTGATATCCAGCATGGAAATGGCAAGCTTTGGTTTTGATCAATTGATGGAGAAGACATCCGTTGCCTTTATTGCCTTTCAATGCAAAGCATCCTTCAAAGACATGTGAACATCTCAAGTTTGGCAGTCACAGTGATTAAAGGGTAAAATGATAGCTCATGCACAGGCCTTTAGATCTAAATTTGCAGAAATTAGTTGAATTAGTTTTGTTATTTTCCCCCCAACATGCTACCAGATCATTCTTTGATATTTTTGCTTTTAAGTTTGGGAAAACTAAGGCTGATGTGGATTGATGAGCTTTTGGTCTAGGCACCTTCACACATTCCGTCTATGTACAGATAATAATGTGTCCACACAGAGGCAACATTGGCAGATTAGAGTTGGGCCATATGTCCTTTTGCTGAAGTTTTTGAGTTGCATCAGGAAGGGACTGACTCTTCTATATCTGGTGCATGTACTTTTCACAGGGGTGGGTTTTGACCATCTGCAAAGAGGAGAGAGTATATATGGCCTCCCACAAGTTGTGGTACCCATCTTCTCTTGTGAGGTCAAGTCAACTCAAACACAACTTTCCATCGCTGTCCTTTTTGCTATATGGGCCTCCCTTCTCAAATATCCATGATGGATCTAGTTGAGTTATCAAAGTACTATAGAAAAGGCCACAAGCAGACAGGCAGCAGAGCTGAGGTTTCTTCTGGTTAAGAGACATAAGATGAGAAAGAAATAGATACTTCAAAATGCCCAAAAGACAGTTTTAACCCTTCTTTATCATTAGCAGGCTGCAATAAACTATGAAAATGGGATTCTGGGAGAAGATAGGATCTCCAGTAGGGGGACACAAAATAGGATCTATCTGTCATAGTTTTGAGGTATGACCACCTCCATCATTGGTTGGCAACCATGACATCTAAGCTTTGAAGATGTCTGGCTTCAAATGTTACATTAAGCCACATCTAGCTTTTAGCCCTGGTTAGTTGAGTAGCCATAGCTTGTCTGGATCCACACACTGCAGCACACCATAGCATGATTTATTTTTATTGTCAAATGTGATATATGGAAACAGAGATTGTAGTTTGCAAACTAGCAGTCAGAACATTGGGTAAGCACCAACCCGATGGCCAGGAAATAAAAGTGCATCATTATTTAGCTAGTACGTGAATACAAAAATAACTGATGGAGCTTTCATTGCAGAGGGAAATAAAGCTAAAAATGATGCACTGTGAACATTTTTAAAGAAATACAGTGAATTACAAAGCACACCCAGAGAGAGATACCTAGAAACCATCAATGTTTGTTATGTTTCTCCAGAAGAGGGCTCCCTGCACAGCAGGAAAATCAGAAAGTCTTGAAAAGAATGGCTGTAGCTACAGCGAGAAAAGAGAAGAGAATAGGTATCCCTGCAATGAAACTAAATCTAAATAAGGTGGGAAAAGTGAACACCGGCTCTCTCCTTCCAGTTTGGTATCTTCTCGTTCAAGCTAGCCTAACTGATGGATTTCCAGCTGTCAAAAAGAGGTGTGGGCTAGGAGCAAACATTTTAGCATGTATAAAAGGGAGTGTGAATGGGGTATGTGGCCCATATCATCTGAATGCCTTTATGTCCTTATTGAAACACTCCTCTCCAGGTGCAGGGCAACATGTCCTTGACTTTCTGATAAAAAATGTTGTTGAGTCTAATCTTCCACCTCTCTATGAAATCCCCCCTCCCAAATTCCCAGGCACTAAATGTGACAGCCTCGAAGCTTCCAAGTAAAATATGGCTTTCAAGGCTGACATAGGGACTCAGTGTTGATATATTCAAATGAGAACCCTTGAGTCAAAATGCTTATTTAGGGACTGAAAGCGAATAGCAATAGACTTATATACTGCTTTAGAGTGCTTTACAGTTCTTTCTAAACAGTTTACAGAGTCAGCCTCTTGCCCCCAACAATTTGGGTCCTCGTTTTACCAACCATGGAAGGATG